CATAGATTATCGGACCCCGATATTCTTAATTTAGCATGGTTAAACTTTATAATCATGTAGGTTTTAATTTAATAAGAGTTGTACAGCGAGTGACACCCCATAGTTAGTAAATATGAATTCTATTGTAATACTTTTATAACATGAATATTTATTAGAAACTGCTATAACATAATGTTAATCAATATATTTTGTAATATTATAATAAGAATATTGTAATATATTAGAAACTTTGATTTAAACATATTTTATTGAAAAGATTAAGATTAAATAACTAAGTATCAAGATAATTAATTTCATTTCATTTACGAAAGTCAAATATTTATATTAACATCTCAAAAAAATATTTTAATATATTTCTATTTGTAAAATTATTGTAAACAGTTGATTATAATCAGAATATTATAAAGTAGGTTGTTTATTAACTTGTATTATAATATAAAGAAATAACATTTTCATTAATTTAACATAATCAATATTGAATGTTAATAGAGTAAATATATTACATCAAATAAAATATATAAAATATATTACACAACTTTACTTGTACACAACTAACTTTATTAAATAAAAAAACAACATTACTTAATTAATTTAAATAAACAATTCTGTGTACAAACAGTATTGTGTTATAGAGTAATGAAATTATAATAAAATCTAGATTACATCTATCGATATAAATATAATAATAAAGAATTTATGTTAAAATATCAAATGGTATTTAGTTGTATGTTATGACAAATTAGGTATACTCAAGAAATATATCAAATTAATAAAGTTTTAAGTGTTTATTAATTATAAAAATTTAGGATTACTAATGACTGCACTAAAAGAATTTAATTAAAATAATATATCAATAATGGTTAAAATATTTTGTAAATCAATTTAATAAAGGTAAAATTGCATTATCAATTAGAATATTGCATAAGCTAGATAAAAAAGTACAAAAAGTATTATTGTTACATTATAAAAATATATAGCTAAAATACTTATAAAAGTGTGTTATCTCAAATTTACAGTGCATTATGCACTGAAATTAGTTCTTTAAAATACAAAAAAGCAAGTATAAATAGAGCTTGGTAAAAATGTGGTTATTCACAGTTAATAAATAATACAATTTTAAATAATTTTATAATGAAGTTTATAATATTGTTAGCATTATTTTCTATAGCATTGGCTTTAAATGCCAACGATTACCCAATCGATGACTACTTGGCGGTGAAAAACTCGCGTAACTTCACGGGGAAAGTGGTGTTAGTGACCGGAAGTAGTTCAGGCATAGGGGAAGGTGTTGTCAAACTGTTCTCCATATTGGGGGCCAAAGTGGTGGTCACCGGTAGGAAAGAGGCTGATGTCCATAAAGTGGCTCAAGAGGTGCAACAGTTATCACCCGACAAACTGAAGGTACAAATGATTTATAAATAAATATTTTAATTATATTTTATCATTAATTGAATTATTTCTTTATAAAGCCGTTAGAAGTGACGGCAGATCTGACGAAAAGGGAAGACGTCGAGAGACTTATCAATGAAACCATCAAAACGTTTGGACAGTTGGATGTGTTGGTCAACAACGCCGGGATATACCCCACATCAGACATTCACGACAAGAATATCACCGATGAGTTTGATTTGGTGTTTAACATCGACTTAAGGGCTGTCGTGCAGACCATTCACACGGCTGTCCCATACCTCGAGAAGACTAACGGCACTATTATTGATATGTCCAGTGTTTCCGCATTTTTAGCGGTATATTATTTTAATATAAAATATATACACTTACATTGATACTAATATATTATGACATATAATGCAATTTAAAGGGCAAATCACAACTGACATACTGTTCAGCGAAAGCGGCGCTAAATATGTTGACAGAGGTATTGGCCCTCGAGTTGGGACCCAAAGGGGTTCGCGTTAATACAGTCAGGTTTGCAGTCATTTGTTGAAATATATTATTGACCATGATGTTTAATTATTACAATTGTGCTAAAGTCCGGCCGTAACAGAAGTGGACGGTATACCTAAGACATGGATAGAGTTAGTGAGACAGTTGGCACCCCTTAGACGAGTGGGTGAACCCCTGGATATCGCCAAAGCCGTGGTATTCCTGGCCTCGACTGACGCCCAATACATAACCGGCGAGAATCTGGTGGTCGACGGCGGACAACACTTTTTGGGAAACCCTTTATAACTTTATAATTGTTTATTTTTATGATACAATAATTTGCAATTACTTTAATTTGAAATATAGTTATCATTATTAGAATTACTGAGATTAAATATTAATTAAATAATAATACATTAGTTTATTAAATATACAATTGTATTTGAATTACTGTAATGTAGTTTTATAATTGATCAAGGTTAAACAACAGGACGAGTTTGCTTTGAATTCGTAATATTAGTTTCTGTCAGCAGACTGTGAGGTCTGTATGAGAATCACCGTATAATTCATGACAAAAGTGAATATCTGTGAAAATACAATTTATAATTAAAGTATTGTCTATTTTAATTATTTAATATTATATTATTGTATTGAATGTTATACTAAACAGCAATAAATGTGGATTTATTGAATTTTGCGAAACCACCGATAGTTATACCAAATGAATGAGTATTTCGAGTAATATTCCTCAATAAAAGCCATGACTTGTACTCACTATCAGACAAATCCGTGTATACCATACCGTCTAATATCTCATTCAGTT